GTCTTCAGCAAGTGAATCAAACAACGGGTTAGTGATTTTACCTGCTACGGGAACTTGGTATCATATATATATATATATATATATATATATATATATATATATATATATATATATATATCCTATCTTCTGACCAGTGTAAATATAGGCTGGCAGTTCTCAGTGTGAAAGTCAAGGTGGCATGCATAGGACGCATTCCAAACAGAAGTCAGTTGGTTGGAGACAATCAACAGGAAGCTCTGCATCTTGATCTCATGCTTGTTAGCACTCGTTAGCAAGGCCTATCTGCAACCTCGAGACAAATTGTGTCCCATGTGAGACTAGAACCCGCGTCACCCATTGTTGTAGTCAGCGATTACTGTTATTATCACTTGTCCCTTGGGTTCCTGGAGGAACATAGGTCTTCAGTAGCACGTCTCCATTTCACTCTTTTCTCTGCAGTCTTTTCAACCTGGCTCCACAACTGCTTTCATTTCTTCCTCACACGATCTCCCCCATGTCACCCTCGGACGCCCAACTCGTCGTTTCCCATACGGGTCCCACTCGAGGAGCTGGTGCGTGTAATCCTCAAATGGTCTTCTCAATGTATGCCCAATCTACCTCCACATTCTTCTGCATATTTCCTGGGCGATGGGTTGTTGGTTGGTTCGTTGCCAACCAGCCAGCCAGAGTTCCTTGTTGCTTATTCTTATTATTCTGGCCCTACGATCTTCAGTGTCAGTATGGAGTGAGCGTAGGCGGCAGCTGTTCATGTATGTCTGTAGTTTGTTGGAAATGCTTTCCGTATCGCACCAAGTCTGTCAACCACCACATAGAAGCACTGAATTGACTGGCATTAGTGTTGAAAACCCTGATCTTGTTTTTTATGCTGAGTGCAGTAGATCTACACACTGATTTCAGGTTAATGAAGGTTTGTCTTGCTTGCTTTTCCGATCCTGGCTTTGACATCTTCATCTGTGCCTGTGCCACCTGTAGTTGAAACGATGCTGCCTGGGAAGATCGGTGAAAGAGACAACTTCCCTTACATTTCTCCCGTTCATGGTCATCGCTACTTCTTGTCGTTGTTGTTGTTGTTGTTATTGGTGGTGGTGGTGGTGGTGGTGTTTGGGTATCTTCACCACCTCCGTCTTCTCTACGTTCACCTGAAGGAAGTCACATCTTCCTTCGCTGCCCTGCCTCTTCTGCCAACCTGGTGGTTTTTGTCGAGTTGACTACAATCAGGAAGATCGTCAGTGATAGTAGGTGGCAACGTTGTCTTGTCTTACTCCTGTCTTCACTTCAGAGGCGTCACTGAGCTTTCCATTGTGAATCACTTGGCATGTAGCACGTAGCATCGTCTCATCATATAACTGTTGTTGAATCAGGTTGATAATTGTTAGTGGTACTGAAACCGTAGTGTTCAAGCAGCTGCCTGTCAAATTACTTCTCGGTCGACGCTGTCAAAGGTCTTTTCAAAATCGATGAAGTTGAGGTAGAGATCCATTTGATTGTCATTCTATGCTGTGTTTTATGATGATGCGTAGCGCAGGATAGCGTTACAATTCTGTCCGCACATGATTTTTTCTTCTTAAAACCAGCCAGCCAGTTCCGGTTGTAATTTCGAATCAAGTGCATCTTTTAGTCTCTCCAGGATGATGCGGCATAATATTTTGCTTCTTTGTCCAGTGTAGTGTTTATAGGTTGTGTTTACTTCCTCTTTTCGTTGTTCATTCCTGCACTGCACTGCACTAGTTTGTCTTCGGCTTCACCATCTTCCTCTCCCTGCTCTATCAACTTCCATGTGTCCGTTGAGATCCATTCCTTGACTACTTTCTTTTTCCTTCCTAATACGGATATGCAGGTTTCCTCCTGTTCACGCCTCGTGTCTCCCATTTTTTCCTGATGGATGACTGAAGTGAAGATGTCATCTGCAGTTTCGTCCTTCAGTTCAGTTTCTGTTCTGGCTGGTTGTTAAACTTTAGCTGTGGTCGTCTATCACCAACTTCCTCGAATTGAAAATTTTCAACTTGATTTTGGAAGCAGGTTCCGTGCACTAGATAGTGAGTGAGTGGTGTCAACCTACATCTGCCTCCCCACACTCCACCCCGTTCTTGATTTCCTCTTATCTGCAGTAGAATTTTCATGTCACCAACTGGAGTCTTGTCTAGTACTGATTGTGGGTGTCTATAGAATTCCTCCTTCTCATGTGCATTATTTGTTGGCGCGTAGCAGTGAATGATTGTGACTTTCCTTCATTTCGATTTGAATCCATCTTGCTGTCATGATGTTGATCGTTGGGGAGGAGATTGGTTGCCACTGCATAAGAGAGAGAGAGCCTTCGATGCTGTTGACAACGTCATGATGGCCACTCGAAAACTCAGTGTGCTCGTGATTGTCGTGTCGGTGACAATATCGGAGTAGATTATTGACTCTCCAGTTGACAGTTTGATCAGTCCACTTCCATTCCATTTGCTTTTGCGGATTCCTAGCACTTCTATGCCCATATCTTGTCATTTGTTTTGCAATCTTGGTAACCTTGTCAACCGACTTCAAATATGGTGTGGACATTCCATGTCCCCATGCTTTGTTTTATTTTCATCGAGAGAGAGAGGAGACCAATTGGCCAATTGGCTTGCCGGAAACTTTCGCCAACTGGCGTCTTTTCGTCTCTCCGATTCCAGCGAGTAATTAATTTTTTATTTTTTATATTTTATTTGTGCTTTGAAGTTTTTTTAGCGATTGGATTGGTTTTCCGGGGTAGGGTTGGTAGTTCTATGAGCAACCTTCGCTCTTCATCCGGGCTTAGGACCGGCTAGTGACTAGTGAACTAGTTTACCAGTCAAGGTTGTAGTCACCAATGCCATCACTGAACTATTCGGTCCGTCGTTGACCTGCTGTGTGACTGGATTAGAAAGATCGATTCCCCACTGGAGAGCAACCAATCAATGTATAAATGGCAGTGATCGTATACGATTTTCGTAATGTATTGCTGTTCCTTATTTACTGGACAGCACCTCAGCACTACTTAAGTTTCTTCCACGTTGGCAAGTGCCGCACAAATATGGACATCAGTATATGAAGTTGTTTTCATGCCGACTGAAGTTGTAAGACCAAGTTCTTGCAGGCGTGGTATGAAATGGCACATATTGAGTTGTTGTGAACTTGATTTAATGCGGGTAGGTGGGGAGTAATGCTAAAGGTAATGCTAATAAATAAAAATGTTTTCCAAACCCTCAAATACTTATTACGTTTCTTTGGAGGTTTTTGTCAACTTGTTTTTTTTCATCTGAAAGCGTAAGTGGGACACAGACTGTTATCAGTCTCACAAGGGTACCTTATCCCTTACCTGTTCTAAGCAATATGCCTTTCGAACATGGAATATCTGAGATTTTAGTGTGTATTATCGCACCTCTTCAAATTATGTAGAAAATATCAGTTGTGAAGAGCTTTTTACTTACCTACATGTCGTGGTATCTTTTTGCGACCAGAGTCAGCAGTGGTGTTTATGGATCAAGTGTACAACCAATTCCACCATTCCAAATAAGTCCACTACGCCCTGTTGAATCTGTTAACGTATGTAGTCGAAAACGTGGCGCTGGAAAAAAAGTTGCAAAGAAGCTCATCATTGATAAGGATACTCGAATAACAAGTTCTCAAATGCGTTGGAATATGTTACACAGTGAACAAACTATTGGAAGACGAAATGATATCCTTGCTGAGTCGCGATCACGCAGTCAAGTACAGTATCTCCTGTCGCGTAATCTCACTCGCTTATTCGCACTTCTGCTAATCTGGAAACTGCGCTTAGTTCGAAACTTTCCGAAGTAAGTTTACGTCTGCATCATGTACGCTGTTACTTAAAAAAAATCTCAGTAGATGGCTTGCCTTGATATGAATATGGACAATAAATTATGTCCGAAACATTATTCAGTAAATAATACTGTTCCTTCGCTGTGTGAAAATGGAAGTACAATCCACCACAGTCAGCAAGTTTTACTCCTCTTTCACCGATAACCCTATTTTTACCTATTGATACTTGTAATTTCCCGTTATTCTGAATCGAATCGACCAACCTCTGTTGACATATGGGCTCGTATGCAGATGCCTCGATATCACCTGATTATTGATTGTGTTGTAATTTGTTCGACGGTGGCTACCAGTGGAATGCAGGACGCAGGTTTCATCCTAGCCAGGTGGATATGCCTGCTTCCCGCTGAGACTCGGACCTCAGGCCCATCGCTTCAAACGCCAAAGCGTTTTCCCCTGGGGCACGAGAGCCACCTCTTGTGAAATGAGTATCAGTTATTATTATTTATTGATACTGCTGCAAGGTACCACCAAACAAATGAGAACGCTAGTCAATAAGTCTTTGCTAACTTTGAACCAGAGTCCCATAGATCGGTTATTAGTTAATTAGTACCCTATCGGTTGAGAGTTGTACAAGGTTAAATTTCAGTTCTCAATTAAAATGAACTATATACGCTCACTGTTTTTACTGTGTATGTTATTTAAAACAGTCAAGTTTTGACATTCCATTTGTATCACTCACAACCAGATCTAATTTCAGTTCACCTCGTTGACTACAATTGTGTTAAAAATAGTTCGAATCAAAATGCACTCAGCACATCCATGTAGTAGTCAATGAGCTGCACCTGTTAGGCTGTGTATAATGATACTACTGCGTGGCTGCCTAGACCTCGGTAGTTGAAGCGGGGTTCAAACCCATTACCCCTAAACCAATGAACCGCAGCTCTACGTAGATGGCGTTGATTAGCGATGGCAACTTTTTATTTCCTAGGTTGTTAATCGAACTGAAAAGAAATAAAATTAGCTGTTTAACATTAATTCTAAGTCTAGCCTCTGTCTCTAGTATTAATTAGTGTTATCGGTTTAACCGTTGAATAACTTTCTTTAAATATCACTAATGATCACTATGTTGAAGTCAGAATCCACCTATCGATCAGGGCTTTCCAAGACGTGATTGGATAATTCATTGGATTTTTCCTTTGATTTCCGGTTGTTTCGTGCTTAGGAAAAAAGGCAAACGTGATTGATCAAACAGGTAAATAGCATCTAGGAACTGGAGTGAAGATGACGTATACTCTAGCAACTTCCAAACAAAGAAAAAAGGGTTTTCAGTTGATTTCAATAGTTCTAAACTGTTTTTTCTTCTTCAAGACCATCATTTCACCTCTCATCACAACAGACTTCTGTTGTATGGGTTGCATTAAATATCCAACTTATCTGTGTCAACAGTTTTCGCTGCATATTTAGGTGCTTAATAATTTTGATTCCCACCGTATTCAGAAACAAAATTACCCTACATTGTGTCTCTCCCTTTCTCTCTCTCTCTCTCTTTCCTTTCTGGTGGTGTGTTTTGCTGCAATTTCTAAAAGATTTTATTACTGTTTACCGTTTAGTCGATAAGTAAAGGTTGTTACCATTGCCAAAAATCATTGGGCATTGTGGTTAATAAAATATTTATAGATTACAGGAAGATTGTGGCTGACAACATCATATTGATCTTTGGCGGCTAGCAGCGGAACCCAGGACGCGCGTTTCTTTCTATTCGGGACTCATCAATCGGATGTACCTGCATCCCAGTAAGTAATATTGTTGTCACTGAGACTGGGACCCAGTACTCATCGCTTCGAACGTCAAAGCGTTATACACTAGGCCACTAAGGCACGATAACCACCTATTGTGCAAAAAAACACTTGATAAGTTTTTTTTGATACTTGTAATATCTCGTTGCTATGCAGGGCCGAATTGTTCGACCTCTGTTGGCAGCTTGGCTCCTATACGAGTCCTAAATAGGATGAAACGGGTCCCGGATTCGACTGATAGTCACCAAGACGAATATAACATCATGAATATGCGACAATCTCACGGCATCCACATGGGAGCCCATCTACCAATGGAGGTCGAGCTATTTGACCCTGTATAGCAACGGGAGATTACAAATATCATGGCAACTATGTCTAACGAAATTTATTGTCACTAGCTTAATATAAAAAACCCAAAGATCAAGTACAAATGAATTCCTTCATATCGGAATAAGTTACATTCAAGTTAGCAATCTTAATTGATCTTCTGTTTATTATTACCTCAGACACACTTATTCATCCTGTGTTCAATCCTTGCCAACATACTTCAGTTTGGGCAAACATTATGTACTATCATAAGCTCTCACATGATAAGTGTGGTTGATGTTGGTGGTGTTTTTATATATGTGTGTGCATATACCAGTCCCACCTCTTGTAGAGTCAAGTATATACGCCAAAGGGTTCAGTGGCACTACCCCACGTGATTACAAGCGGGTAACAGTGTTTGTAAATGTGCACTAGACATCAGTTACACACTATACGAATATTTTAAAAGGTTGGATTCTACTGTATAATTATTATTCATCTGCTTATAAATCGCAGTTTTGAAAATGCCTATCAATAGGGTATCTCTTCTGTATATGCTCCTTGTTGTCCTTTCATGTGGAATGAATGGCATGTTGTTCTGTGACATATGATGTGGTATAGCATTATCATTATTATATTGCAATTCTGCATGGAGTCGACACCATTCACCACCAGTGTGTACTGTAGGCGATTATCAGCCTTGCCTTCAATTATCCGCTTCACCACCCAAACTGTTCTCATTATGAATACTCAAGTCCATCTAATCGACAAAGACTAACTAACAATCAGTGACACTCCCTTCATTCCCTGAGTTTGTCAACTGCGTTTTGTAGAGATACACTTGTTGTCACTGCTAAAGTTATCCACCCATATGTTTTATTTCTATTTTGTAACATATGAATTAATGGATCTTTGCACAATGTAATAAAAAATGGAGGTTATTTGAGAATGGATCTTAACTGTTTTGTTTATCTTGTTCTTCTTCTTAGTTTTGGGTCCGTCAACGTCGTGTATGTGAGGTAGCTTTAAAACAAAAAATATCAAACGGGGAAATAAAAGATGATCTGGAGGAAGATGAATTATTTCGAATCCCATCTATGAATGAATCATCGTCATCAATGGGAACGAGTACAGTCAGGGAAGATAATGACGCTTCCATTGAAATTCATCGTTTCGCCAGGGATACTTCTCTAGTCGCACCAGATTCTTTACTCCGTGGTTTAATTGATATATCGATTAATCAAGTGAGCGAAAACAAGTTTTCTCGTTGTGGAGACATTTTATGTCGTATAAACTGATTAGTGGTTCTCATCAGGTAGACAGACAATAGCGCACAGCCAAACTGATTTTAACCATTTTAATTTAACGTGAATAATAATAAGATAATTTGTAGAGGGAAAATACTTGAAAACAATGCAGTTGTTTGTAATGTAACAAGCTGAGCAACGATGCGCATATTCATACCATTAGGTGATAAGTCACACCTTATTGTCAGGACGTTAGACTGCCTGTAAACGGGTCGATTAGACAACACTTCAGTTCGAGCAGTTCTGCTTTACATCTGTGAGATTTGACATCGCTTGGCTGGTGATATCCGACCTCTCTGCGTCTTTAATCATAATCTGCTAAAATCCGGTGGGAGTAATATGTGAATAATCCTGAGGTGAGACAGTACCCGTTTTGGCGTTATGGAAATCGTCGTTCATTGTGTATAGTCATCTCATAGCAGCTCGTACACCGCCTCACCGGTTGGAAGAAGTGGAGAGGTGACCAGTGTGTTACTTCGCTCCTTAAGATAAAGAGTAGTTGTGTTAGGTTAACATTTGTTGGTAGTTTGCAACTTTCTGGATGGGGTCTGAGACATAATACGTCCCACCAGCTTGAGAGAATGGTAGGAATGGCCCATAATCGAAATCAGTGAACGCTTCTTTGAATGTGTCTCTTAAACTAACTGCTTCTCCTAATAGCATAATTCTGTTTTGTTTCCACGTTTTGTATCTCTTTAGTGTTGCTTTATTATTTTGTATGATGGCCATATTGTATCAGGTTTACGCTTTTAATGCTACTATGCGGTTGCTCAAACGTCATTAAGTGACAAGGATTTTGAGCCTGTGGATCCACTGGTTGGAATTCGAGTGGTCTAGTCGACTGAACCACATCTTCATTTATTGTTTCGTCGAAGTTGAGGGATTTCTTACCACGTAACTGTGATAATGATAATGTTGGTTTCCATTATCAGTCGAGAATTGCCATCTCTGCCCATCTCCATCTTGTGAAACAGCCAATGTATATCATCGCCGATCGATTCATTCTCCTAAATTCACCAACTACATCCTATATGAAACCCTATACTTTTCCCCTCATTAGTTGTACCTCAACCGAATTTTGCCTTGAAGATATCCGACTATCGAATCTCCACATTGTTAAGTTGTTTATTCTCAACTAACATTCGATATGGCTGTACCTCACTTTCTGATATAGAAAGTGACGAGAAGACAGAAATCTGGTAGGTTTGCGTGGCGTATTGTAGCAAGTAGTAAATAAACTTTTAAGTGGTTTTTGAGATCGAAAAGACTCCTGTTTCAGTAGGAACTATACATTGCCAACTGGTGGGGAGGATGAGGCTGAAAATACATTAGGGCGACCAGACTGAAACGACGTTAGTTTATGAAGCCAGGGAGACAGAATCAAAGTACAACCTTGCACACAACTGCACCAGTTTAAGATGCTACACTTCACAGTAGTATACAAAGAACAGGTGGGTAGAAAAGGAGTGACAAGTTGTATGAGAGAATAAACAATTTGAAGATAACAGTTAATGCGAATATTCAAGCTTTAGGAGATGTAAAGGAGTGAATACATCCGCACTATTGTGACCGATTTTCAGCCATGTTATTAAGAGTCCTCAACCACTGGATTCCCTATCATCTGGTTGACCCCATACACGGCTGAGTCCAACAGTCAGGGACTTCATGGATTGGTGCCACGTCTTGGTCCAGCCACCCTGAACCGTTTTCCAACCTAATTTAACCTTCCTTAGCATGGTACGTCAAAGTAGGCGGTGGATTGGCACGCACAACACATCCAGATCACCTCAACCTATTGATATCAGTCATGTAGGAGAATACAGACTTCCCGGTCGGGGTCTACGTAATAACACAAACCAGTGGTTGGGGAATTTAGGTAACATGGCTCAGTATCGAACTTCTGGCATGATCTCATCTACTAGTACCTTTGTTCGTCGTGTAAGCTCACATCACAAAAGGAGGCGAAAGAGTTAGAACTATGTTAAGCATGTCTCAAAGTTGTGAAGTTATCTTGGTATGACTAGAGACAACAAATTGTGTATGGAACGTAATCGAGTAAGTAATACTGTTCCACTGTGTGATAAATCAACTGAAATGGAACTACATTCTATTACAATGTCCGAGTTTTACTCTCATGTTAACGTGTACTGTTACTCAGTAGTCCCAGGTTTCGTGCTGATATTATCTATCCTATATAAGAAGGGTACTGTTACCTTGTAAAAATAGAGAGTGCAGTATGCTTCATCGCTCAACTCGCTATGATTGCATAATTGAGGCTTTCATATGTAACAGATTTTTTCCTAACTTTCTTGATGTCTTTTAATCTCACTGTCAAAATACCTTTATATGAACATTATTTTAGACGAGCAGTATTGGTGAATCATTTGCACAAATGAGAGATAGCTTACAAAAGACCAGGGAACAGTTTGCGGCTAATATCGCTGCAAACCTTCAGAATAATGCTGCTTGTGAATCAACTCCGCTGAATTTACCTGTTCATCATACAGGTACTTCACAATCACAATCTACAACACTAGTCCCTGTATTGGAAGAATTTGAAGAGCAGGTGCAACAACCGAAAGAGATTGGTTAGTTTAAGTTATGTATATTGTTGATTTTTTTCCTCATTATTTTTAGGAAATCCCATTAATCCACTTCGTCTTTTCTATTCGGTAGGTAATATTCTGGACACATGCAACTACTAATAAGTGTGAGTTCAACGATCTAGTAATGGTAAATATATGTGTTCCAGTAGACTAGAAAGATAACACATTCCTTGCGAGTAGATGCGAACTTGCAACCAGCTAACTTCTATCTTGACAACAAAATCCCTCTTATTCTTATCGTCATTCACCTACATTTCCATACATCTTAGTTGCATTCATCCAGTGGTGTTCTTTCTCCCTTGAAATGATATTTCTTTCAGAGGTGTTATATTACATGATGATCATTGGTCAGAACTACAATCATTCTACTGATCATCCCAGATACCTGAGCATCTTCTTTTGAACTACATTCATCAAACTACTAGTTTATTTCACTGCTTGGAAACATTTCCTATCATTTTAAACAGCTCCTTCCGTGTCACTTTCCTAACGTCTATATAATCATTTTGTGGTGACTTACAACAGTAGGTGAACTGTAAAAGCGAAATCAAGAACCACCAGTTACTTGCTACCTAGTTTCGTTTGCTCGAATGGTTCAAAGAGGATTTCTGTAGAATAACATTAGTCAGATTGGCGATAAATATTACAATAGTCTTATCACTTTAGTATCCAACTTCCACTATTGTCCGTAGAATATTCATCACATTTTTCTATGGATAAACAATCTCTAAGTGTGACAAGGTTATTATGATATTGTATAATTCACAACTTTGTATAGAAATTTGTTCACGTTGCTAAAACACAAAACATTGGTTATATTGATGTTATTGCTTGTAGCTTTCTGTCGTCGACTGGACCGAGTTGAAATATGGGCTTCTTCAAGGATGAGTGGATACTTTTTTGGTGTTATATTCTCTGAGCTGGATGACTTAATCGTGAAGCTTTCATTGTCATTGTAGACAACGTCATCAGCGCTAATTTCGGGAAGTGGACTGTGGCTTAGTAGCTTGCCCCGATGACAGGTGTGATTAGTTGTTCCTGCTAAAATCTTGTCATAGTCTGCATACGCATTTCGATTGATTGTCAAGTCACTGTATACTTTGACTGGTTGTTTCTTGTGTCTCTTATTGGTTGAAACATTGGGTAAATGTCAATATTTCTGTCGATCGCTGATTGACCTGAATACTAGGATCCTAAACCATCCAGTTCAGAGAACAGATCAAAACTATCCTTCCGAGCTACAAGTGTTCTCCATCATACCTGGATATTGTAAGTGATTCCAGTTTGGTAGTAATGACGAGTCCTAAATAGGACAAAACGCGCGTCCTAGATTTCATTTCTAGCCGCCATCCATCAGCACTGTCAAAATAATGGTATTCCTAGTAAAACGTTTAGTTATAGTCAATAACTAATGTTACTCCACCGAAGTTATCTTTGAACTACTTTAATGAATGAAACCAAGTAGCCATTAAAACTGATGGATCTTATCAACCACCACAAACTATTTGTCGGATAAACGCAACTGAAAGTGAGTACTCATTTTCACCAGTGACACAAAGTGTGATTGTGTAACATGATGAATTGATCATGTTTTCAAAAGGTCGATTTATTGGCCTGCAGCTCAGTGACATAATGATAGTATTTTCCCTAGCACATGTTATAACGAGTGGTGACAGTCAAAAATACTTAGACCTTGTACTGTTGTTGTGTAAGATCGAAAAAAGGTATTTGACTTCTTACTCGTCGTTCCACCTTTCGTCAATTGATGTTATTTTGTCAAAGAGAATAAATTATAATGCATTTTATTTGTACCACTAATGTGATAGTTTAAATCCCTACACTTATGTCTTGTAAATTGTAAATAGGATACACTTTCATGTGTTTTTAGGTCAGCTTCCTGCTGCTCCTGAGTTGACTGAAGCACCACCTAAAGCAGGTCCTTCTCATGTTCCTCCGTCACCTCCGAAATTGATAAAACCTTTATCTGGTAAATCACGACTTTGGAGGTAAGTGTTTGCATCGTAATTGTGTTTGTTTTGTCTTCCCTTTCACCTCTATCGTCATTTAAGGCGAAATCCTCAAGTTTCATTAATGCATCATTTTCTGTCAACTAAACAGATTCCACGAGCACATACTCATGTCACTAACCTGAACAAAGCATATTTCTGAAGAACACGTGAGGAAGATATTGTCTGAAACTAAGTAACCGACCGTTTTACACACTTTTCGCCAGATCAAAGAGCGAGATTCGCTAGCCCGAAATTCTGTAGTCTTGAGCCATAGATGCATGTTCTGTTTGTAAAACCCATATACAGGAGTTAGGTGTATCTCTTCACCTAGTCTCACTCGTCCAAGGTGATGAATCTGCATGCTTCACTCCATTAGTCTCCGGAGAATCATTGCCTGACTCTCGTGGTCTTACGGGTGTAGTTATGGCGTTAAGTCGTAGAGCAGAAAACTGCCTGATCGACTGAATGACCAAAAGTACTAGAAGAAATTGTAAGATTCTCTGTTACTTCTTTGTAATCTCTGCTAATACATCGACTGGGTACAGCTCAGATGAAGCGAAAGATGATTTTGACCGAGAACTACCTAACCTTCTGATGTTGTTGTCTTAGCAGGCGATTTGAAGTCCTAAGTGGTCAGTATGAGTCAAGTAGAAAGAAACTGCAGTGATACTTTCGCGATCCAAGGCAGACGAACAAATAATTGTGGCCGCTTGTAACGATTTAGCTGTCTGCGAGTTTGAGACAGTACGACTTGCCGTCCACTAATCTGGAATCAACGATGGTACTAGATCAATTAAATTCTACCACAGTGCCCAAGTTTTACGCCTATATTAATGAAAGATATAGTACTCGATCAACCTTATGGCTACCAGATGTCGCTGGAGATGGTCGGTGGGAGATCGACGCTCGGTGTAGAGCAAGTGATTAACAGTGATTTGTAGTTGGTTTGATGAACATGCGTATGTCGTCTGCACCGAAGTGGGTGTTTACAAGCTACAACCGGATGAACTACGAGTGGAACTTAATGATATAGATGCTGGTACTAGTAATAAAGAATAAGTGCATGAACAGTTATTGCAACTGGGAAAACGTAACTGGTTCTGAAGAATCTTAATGTTATCTTCAGTTCGCTGTGAAAAACATATATAAAGACCATAACTGATCCTCAAAAAATAGTTGGCATACGCCAGTGGGTCACAGGAACTTCTTTTGAAGGATTTGAATCCGTATGAAGGGATTCCTGCAGACACAGTAAGGAACTCAAGCAGCTCTGACAAGGTGTACGCGACTACCATGTGCGGTGGTTGGCAATACCAAACGGCTACTAAGGATTTCCGAAAAAATCGGAGTGAAGGCCACCTTGAATATATGAAGATTTCACTGGACAGTTCAACTGACCAGCAGCTGCTTTCTATTTTCCCGCTATACAGCCGCAGCCTCAATAAAACGTAGAAGTTTAGAACTCCGTAGGCATCCGGAAACGTGGTAGGGGCGCGTGCTCCAACGGACGCCAAAGGCATCAAAGACGGTGGCAGAGAATTATAGTTTGGATTATGTCAAGTGCTGGCTGGTGTATGAGAATTAGGGATATTCCCTTTTAATTGATCTTAATCTTTAATTGTCCCACGGTTCTAGTGTCAGTTGAGCTCAGGGTCATTGAATCTGAGGAAACCAGGTTACTATTAGACGCTATCATGAGATGATTGATCAGACATTCACCGTTACCTAGATCTTGGGATGCAAGCAAGCTTGTCGGTGCCCATGATGAGTTGGATTAGTTTGAACAGACTGGTTGCTGATCAAATCTCAGCTCAAACACACAAGGCGCGTTTGGCATCTTCCAAATTGCGTCATCTGTGGCACCAGTGACTACATGTTAAAGGATGAGTATACTGCGCTGTAGTACGTTCAGTCCTGTTCTACGACTGTGGGACATGGCCGGTAAAGTAGAAGATATGAAGCGGTTAGTGGGTTGTGATCACACATGTCTTCGTAGCATCGGTCACGTTTGGTGCAATCATCGTGTGAGCAATGTTGAGGTCAGGTGAAGGGTTCTTAGACAAGACAAGCAAGTCGATTGATGAGGTTATGAACATTCATCGGCTGAGATAGATGGCTTTGACATACTGCATCGCTGTCTACCTCGACGTGCCATGGTAGGGGAATTTGGATTAGGTTGTAAGAAGATTCAGGGTGATCAGACGAATATGTGGCACCATTTGATGAAGTTCAATACTGTTAGCCTGAGCCGTGTGGTGAGATGCAGACTGCCTGGTTGGAGCCGCCGAGACGAAACGAATCAGCGGTTGAAGACTTTTTGTGACGTCTGAGAATCGGTCTGAATGGCGCAGATGTATTTGCTCTTTGACTAACATCTTGTGCATCTTGGATATTCTCACTAAGTTTTATGTTTATTTGTGTTATTGTCCCACAGTGCTTTACTCACTTTGATGTCACTCTTATTCTATCCACTTGTTGTTTTTGTACTACAGTGAAATGTGGCAGTTTGAACAATGCACTTATGTGCGAGGTTCCATGTTTAGTTTGTCGGCCAGTCAGTTGCAGGCGCCCAGCGCTAACAGTTTCACGTGACCAGAAGACAGCATTCAACTTGTAGTATCCAGAGGTTCTACGACAGGACATGGCACTGAAAGGAGCGTTGCATATGTAAATATCTCTATTAAACGTGCTGTATTCAAAAACTTGGCGTGTTTAAGCTCACGGCCAGGTGCCGGTTGGTGCGTACACGACGAGTCATTCCCATCAAGCATATTCGCTCCACGTATTCGCATTCTACTTTGCCATTGATTTAATCATTGGAACCTTATGCATTTCATCTCCCCCTATAAAGCGTGATTTGTTGGGTTGAAGGAAGACTTGTTAGTAAGGTATTCATCTGATTAGTCATTGAAATGTTATTTGTCCACATTCTACATAGGTAAGATTACAGTTAAAATGAACCTTAGTTTTAATAGACCCATAATTCTTCTAAGTTACCGGTCGGTTATTGTTTAAAAAAATGTGCCCTTCAGAGCATTATTTGTTATTCCTGATCACTTCTTAGTTGTCTTTTGCATTCTATTCATTATTATCTTTGTATTTGCTGCACGTAATTACTTCTTTGGACAACATTTATTTGCGATATGACGTAAAGGTCATAGGAACGACAGATATAACGAACTGATCTACCAAGCCTTTGTAACTGACATCCTATTTCTTTCATGTATTATAAGTAAGTTTTTAATGCAAAGTTTACACACAATAAAAAGTTTTTATTTTGGTTATATTTTGAGCTGAAGTATTACTAAAATATTCCAAACTGTTGTTGTGATCATGGGCAGTAATTTTACTCTATTACCAAAATAATTTATCATTGCTTTAATAGTTCACTTATAATTCATTATTTTGACACGCCTAAAGCCCCACCTGATGGTAACAAATGTAGCCATTCTGGGCTGCGCACTGACGGAAATATATGTAGTTTGTTGTCTGAGCATCCGGCTATGTAACACAAAATAATGATGCGGCGTGTTTAGTGTTTCATGTTAAGGAGGTGATGTTGCTGCGCTGCAGTCCTTTCTGTCCTGTTATACTACTCGGAGATATGGCCGTTGAAAGTGGAAGACATGAGACGGTCAAAAAGTTTTAATCATAGACGTCTTCTCTGCTTCACTCGTGTTTGGTCGAATCGCTGCGTGAGCAATGTTGAGGTCCAGAAAAGGGTACTAGACAAGAGTGACAAGTCAGACGATAAGGTCGTGAACCATAATTGGATGAGGTGACTGGAACATTTGTTGCGCATGCCGATCCACCACCTACCTCAACGTTATCTGCCAAGAGAAGTTAGATTAAGTTAGAAGAGGAATCAAAGGTGCTAGACTACGACATGATACCAGTGCATGTAGTCCACTGACTGTTGGTGTAATCCGTTTATGGTGGTGTAGACTATGTGACTGGGGTCTCATAGACCATACTAATCAATGGTTGCGAACTCTTGGTGGCGTGGCTGAAACTCGATCACGATGGCACAGATGCATTCACTGTTTGACTGACCCTAATTTTTAAATTCCCTCCCCTCACATACACCTTTGTCTACTTTGATGTCAGTGTTTTTATATTAACTTGTACTTTGTATGCTACTGTGAAGTTGTTGCAACTTGAGGTGATCTACTTGTATGTAGGTTCTGGGTTGGTTTTATCTGTCTTTCCAATCGCTGACGTCGCATACTGGTCAGGCTTTTCCTTTGTTGGCTGTCAAATGTGAATTAATTGATTTTGCCAATGATTTTTTAAATTAAAAACATTTTTTTGTCAAAATGTTTATGAAGAATAGGCCTGAGCTCGTTTTATGTGAATTCACTCCAAACTGCTTTCTCACATATATAGATATATACAAGGTCAATTGGTTGATTTAAGCCGTGATTCAATTTACTTCGAAGAACTGTGTCCTGCAGGATCGACGAAAAAAGAGGCGGCATTCGCATTTATGTCATTATTGGGTAAGTGGTGTCCTTCCCGTGTATACATTTTGGTTGACTTCTCTGTGCTTGTTTGACTTCATTTGTTATTTTGTGTATATAAGAGACTGACAAGTCAGATGATGTTCATTCGCTTGCTGAACGCTGGAGTGCATGTGAATACTGACGAAGTAACTGTGAATGGGTCCATAATTCGTCTCTGTTCCATTTAGTGTAGATTGTGTCAGTCATAATTCCCCCCCCCCCAAAAAAAAAAACTCTGTCAGAAAAAAAAAACAATATTATGCTTGCGATGAAGAAGTTATTTTCAAGTGAATCAACAGTTTCTAGTTACTATCCGTTATGACGCTTGAATTCGCCTCTAGAAAGTGACAATATTTGTCATCTGCTTAGTTGCATTATGTGCGTGCGCTCATTACCTCGGTTGAGGTCTGAATCGCTATCTTTGAAAGAAATATTTGTCTCTGAACTTATTTTGATAGCATTGTCCAACAATCATTCCCTTGAATGTCGTCAGTACTATCGAATACCTAATCAATGGTTGCGAACTCTTGGCGGTGTGGCTGAAACTCGATCACGATGGCACAGATGCATTCACTGTTTGACTGACCCTAATTTTTAAATTCCCTCCCCTCACATACACCTTTGTCTACTTTGATGTCAGTGTTTTTTATATTAACTTGTACTTTGTATGCTACTGTGAAGTTGTTGCAACTTGAGGTGATCTACTTGTGTGGAGGTTCTACGTTGAGTTTGTCTTCATGTCACGTTATCATATGCTAAGATTGTTATTGCTTTTGATGACATTGAGTTACAACTTTGTCCCAATCAATTAGGATTGTGCATTCTTTCGTTTTTGTAAGATACAACTGGCTAGGAGTTAAGCATGGATTACTTATGTACTTCGGCGTCAGTTTGTTATGTCATTTTCAGGTGGTTGATATGCCTGAAATATACAGTTTGTGGGTTTGATGTAAAGGTTCCATTCTTGTACTACCCCATCATCATCATTAGTATATTTTAGCACTGGTGATCGTATCTCTGTTTACGATAGGAATGTGTAAACGTGAGTAAACATTTACTAATTTGTGACATGATTTCTCTCTACTCTTTTTGTTTGACTGGATTCATTGTAGAATTCGCTAAGAAACGATGGGTTGTTTTATCACAAACGGAGGAGTTTGGCCAGATAACTATACGATTGCCGAGCCAGTGATTGGTTGTAACCTTTTTTAGCTCTACTTAAATTATTCATTGTTTTATAACCTTTCAGAATACGGTTTTACTCCATATTATTTTTATACAGTTCATTTTATATGGTATTTATATATGCTACAATATCATTTGTTATAATATAAATCAACGATTTCTCAAGCTGTTCATCTTTTATAATAAGTCAAACCAGGGGAACATATGAAGTTTTCATTTTCATACGGCACACACTTAAGCAGTTGAAGAGATTATTATTCTTATCATAAGATATGTTATTTACCTGGTGTATGATTCTTTAATGTCTCCCAAACTCGTAACACAGATATGAACAGCTCATTTGGTATTTGCCAACCTGGATCACCATCTCTGATACTGATGAGATGCCTGACCAACTCTTCCAAAGTGAATTAACTGTCTAGCAGTCCACTCTTCTTTACACAGAGTAATGAGTAGATGAAAATTATCTGGAACACGTGCTATGCATTAGCATAGCGCTATACATCTCGAACAGTCTGATCACAAACAAACTTAAGGAATTATCCATATGAAAATTCACATAAAGGTCAATTAAGTCAGTAGGAATAGGGGAAAACAAGAAGGGCAGGACAAATGCAACATGTCGATTCCATGACCCTTGCATTAAAATCAAAAGAAACACTACCAAGGTGGGTTCAAAATAAGCACAAATTGTTTTTGTGCACATGAAGGCGGTTTACATTTGTGGATGGTTAGATTTCGATGGATTCAAGCTTGGAAATTTATTGTGAAGCAATTTAACGTAGGGTGGAGAAATGGTGGGTCTACTTAGCAGGATAGTCTTTCTAGAGTCATGGTAGCAGTTTAGATAGTCTAAAATTAGATGGTTAATCATAACGCACAATTATTTCAAACTGAATAGACTTAGATTCTTATCATCGTCTCAGATACAGACAAGATCAAGGTAGGATCTCTCACACAAGTACATCGGCTCATGGTGCCACACTTCACAGTAGTACACAAAGAACAGGGATAGAATAAGTGTGAAAGAACAAACTATTTGAAGATAAAGGTTAGTGCGAATATTCAAGCCTTAGGAGATTTAAGGAAGTGAATACATCTGCGCGATTGCGATCAGTTTTTCAGCCATGTCACCAGAGTTCTCAACCGCTGATTCCTTTCGTCTCAGGGATACCAGCCAGGCAGTCTACATCTCACATGGCTCAAATCAACAGTTTAGGATTTCATGCACTAGTAAAAGGTATTGGTCTGGCCAAGCTGAGACGTCACCCAACTTTCCTTAGCATGGCACATTGAGGTAGGTGGTTGATCGGCATGTCCAAGCCATCTCAGTCAACTAAGGTTCATAACTTCATCAATCTCAAACACGATGTTCTTGGACAATGTAATTATCATTTCGTATATAGTCCTAATGAAAGGTCAATTTTGGTGTTAACAGCGAAGGATACTGCAGAATATGAAAGGTTAACTTGACATTATGAAGGTACTCTTTCTCTCTTGAGTGTGCATCTACTGGCTGGTTAGTGATAGGTTATGCGCTTCTGACAGAAATGAGCAGTTGTAAATTTCCCAAATATATGTTAGCACTAAGTGCTTACCACCACAGACTAGTGTGCGTTTTATTCAACTACCCATGGAAGTCAGCATTCTGCATTTCTTATCCACACTTTTAACGCACGGGTTTCGCGTTTAAAATTCCGCTCTGTCTATATAAGCTTCATCAGTGAAGTAGTAAGAATGCTGGTTTTCATACTAAGTATTCGGCTTAAAAATTAGTACAGGAATCTGCTTATAACTCAAAAATCGCAATATTCCTTATGAAACTGAAGGTTGGTATACAGTTTATGGTGAGTCGATCTATAGCCGGGGTCGTGGTTGCCCACTGCTGAGGAGTCCATGCTAGGACGAAACAGCTGTCCAGTGCTCCCAGGTCTTCAATGTTCCTTCAAATGATGTCAGTCCGTGGCGAATTCCAACCTAAAATCAATTAATAAACCTCCAGATAGGATTGAGACAATCAGTTTGTTTGAGGGCTTAGCATAAATAAGTCTGCTCTTGTAAGTAGTCACCATTTTATCACTATATGGCGTCAGTTCAACAGATGAGTACGCATTCTTTTAGCACTCATATAGTCTACCATTATTATTAGTACCAAGGTTCGAAATGTCAAGTAATTGATTTTAAGGTATAGGCATCATGAAATGTGTCACTAACACAGATATGGCACGTTCTGTGGGTGTAAATGAAGAAGGTAGAAAGATTAATAAGTGGCCGAAGAAGTAGAAGCAATTGCATCAGATACAACTGAAGGTCTTTCGTTACTTTTCAACAACAACAACAGAAGACTTACTCTACTTCACGTCTGTTCACCACTTGAGCGATAAAGTCTCACGGTCTGACCACTCGATCAAGGAAATTGTGATGCGCTAGGGTGCGTTATCCCGGATGACTTTTACATCACACAATAATATGTCATAGGCTGACGGGTTGTTTACCTTTTCATTTTGAAGTCAATCACTTCCTAGTGACCAGCTGAGAAAGGTTATGTTCTTTTCAAACTTTTACAAAAGATAGCAGTCGTATATGTATAAGACCGAAATCTTGGAATTTTGAAATATTACGTGCTAAGGAGAACTTACTGTACTCTGCTAGATAAAACTCGGGTGTTCAGTGAAGGCTTATAGGTCATTGTACTCAGTCGGTCGATTTTGCCACACTTGATACAAGATATCAAACGAGAAGACACCGACATGAAAGATAGGAGAAAAGTGGTAGAGCTCAAAGCATTGAAACAGTTATGGAATTCCACACATAGCTTAAGATGCAGAAAATATGTAAATGCACCTACACCACTCATTCTGAGCCGTATAGTCTACAGTCTCTCAACCATCGATTTAAGTAGTCACACTAACTCCAACCAGGGAGCCTACATTTTCCTAAAAGTGGGTTGGTTACTTCACAGTGATTTTGTTGATGATGGTGGTGCTTTAATGTGCCCTAGATATAGGCCTTCAAAACCTCGCCTGGTTAACTAGTTCACTGGTTACTAGCCGGTCCTAAGGCCGGGTAGGTTTGGCAAAGGGCTAGCAACCCTACCCCGCAAAACAAATCTAACCGCTAAAGAAACTTCAAAGCACAAACAAAATATAAAAAATGAAAACAAACTTATTCCCCGCTGGAATCGGAAAGGCGAAATGACTCCAGTTGGTGAAAGCCTTCGGGAAGCCAATTGACCGATATGTCTTCTCTCTCTCGATGAAAGCGAAGGTGGACGTGGGGACATGGAATGTCCGTACGATGTTTGAACCCAGTAAGGCAGCCCAGATTGCAAACGAGATGAGAAGGTATCACATCGAAGTGCTTGGGATTTGCGAAAGCAGATGGAATGGAAGTGGAGTCTCCAAACTGTCAACTGGAGAATCAATAATCTACTCCGATATTGTCACCCAGAGGACAACCACGAGCACACTGAGTTTTCGGGTGGCTATCATGATGTCCCCTCCAAAGAGCATCGAAGGCTGTCATGCAGTGGGAACCAATTGCCTCTAGCTGGATCATGAGAGCAAGGTTCAACTCAAAAGGAAGGAAGGTCACAATCATTCAATGTTACGCACCTACAAATAATGCAGATGAAGAGAAGAAAGAGGAATTGTACAGACAACTGCAATCAGCACTGGACAAGACCTCAGTTGGCGATATCAAAATTCTAATGGGCGATATGAATACCAAACTGGGAGCAGACAACACTGGAAGAGAACTAATCATGGGTCGAGGAGCACTCGGTGAGGTGATGAACGAGAATGGAGGATTGTTTGCAGAATTCTGTGCATTCAACGATTTGGTGATTGGAGTCAGGCATTGTGTTCGGGCACAAGGATATCCACAAAGCAGCGACATGGATTTCACCAGACACCACGACACACTAAAAATCAGATGGACTTCATCCCAATCTCAAGAAAATGGAGACAGCCTATTTTACACAAGGTCAAGAAGAGGAGCAGATGTAGGTTCACACCACTCACTGTCTAGTGCAAGGAACCCATCTTCCAAATCAAGTTGAAAGCCTTCAAGGAAGCTGGTGATAGACCACAGTTCAAGTACAACACTCGGAAACTGAAGGATGAAACTACTAAGGAAATCTTCACAGCAGCCAGCCATCAAGACAAAATGGGAGATATCGAGCAACATCCCTGAAGAAACCTGTGTGGAAGAACACTGGAAGTCTTTGAAAGAAACCTGCACAGCCGTATTAGGAAGGAAGAAGAAAGAAGATAAGGAATGGAATAGATCTCAATGGATACATGGGAGCTGATAGAGTAGGGAGAGGAGGATGGTGAAGCAGAAGATAAACCAGTGCAAGGATGCTCAATGACAAGAGGAACTGAGTACAATGTATAAAATATTACACTGAACAAAGAAGTGAAGAAGAGTGCACGGAAAGACAAAAGACACTTCTACGATGCATTGGCAAGTGAAGCAGAACAGACTGCAGGTAGGAGAGAGAGACCTGACAACATTGTATCAAATAACTAGGTTACTCTCTGGGAAGAGATCAACACAGATGAAACCATCAAAAGATGATGACGGAAATTTAATTACGAAAGAAGAGGAACAAAGGAAACAATAGGCCGACCACTTCGAGAAGCTCTTGAGTCGACCACCACCACCACCTGCACTTTGTCCAGAAATACCACCTGCAGCCCAGTCACACAACTACAAGTGAACACAAATCCCCCAACAAAAGTGGAAGTCCTGAACGTCATAAAGCTACTGGAATGCGGGAAAGCAGCAGGACTAGACGGCATCCCACCAGAAGCACTGAGAACAGATGCAGAGACAACAGCAGACATGCTCACACCACTATTGCAGAAGGTGTGGAAGGAAGAGAAGGTACCTGGCTAGTGATTGGAAGAAGGGTTACCTTGTCAAACTGCCGAAGAAAGGAGACCTCAGTGTTTGCAAGAACTGGCGCGGAATCACTCTCCCGTCCACCCAAAGCAAGCAAAA